TAACAAAGGTAGCTAACAAAGTTTTCCCAATCCCTACTAATGAATGTTATCTTGTTTCAGGATACATAATACCTGCCTTTATCCAAAGACACATCTGCTTACCTGTATCTTTTGCTCATTTCTCCTCTTCTTTACTCTATTTTTTTTATAAACCAAGGACCTGATGGCTTTGACCTTTTCTTGTCCATCTTGCATCTCCAGTATCAACACCCAACCCCACAACAGAAACTAATAGACCTACACCTTGTATAGTTTTTTTTTTCTGGGATTTCACACAACCTAGGAAACCCAGCCTTTACTCCGATTGGTTCCCATGCAATCCCCAAAATGCGCTGGCATGATGTCGGGGCAGCATGGGTGCAAGCAACTTTTTTTTGCCGATGCCATGATGCCACCCCCGCCACGATGCCGCCCCGGGCAACCACCCATGTCGCCCATATCAAAAACCACCACTGCCTGCACATGTGTAAAGAAATGGCTGTGATTTTGCCACCCCGTTTGATTTCCATGCCACCCTAAGAAAATTTCTTATCCGCCCCTGGATAGGAGCACACCCGCGTGCGAGCACACGCACATGCACGCGCTAGCTGCGAATACACCAGAGCTCTCCAGTCAGTACGACGTAGCGTAGCAGAGACACCGAAACGTAACGAAATAGCGAGATATTTTCCCGAGGAATTTTACAGCTGGTCGGCTCGCTAGCTGACGGCAAAGCAGGCATGGACGACAAGTCATTCACCAAGGAGCTGGACGGATGGATCGAACAACTGAACGAGTGCAAGCAGCTGACAGAGAATCAGGTCAAAGTCCTCTGCGAAAAGGTGAGGTTTACCAGGCGACTTAATATTAGTACCCCACATTATTAGCTTTCCGCAGTGCTAGCCGACGCTTAGCCCGTATAGCCCCCCCGAATGGCTCCTTTAATAGAAATATTGCCTGGACTCAGGCAATATTCCTGCATGTGGCCTTACAGGAGCACACCATTTGACTGTAGCTGCATGCTGTGGATTTCTAAGACAAGCCGAGATGATGGTGGTGGGAAGCCTGCGAATGTTTTCCCTACCTACGCCCACTGCTTGTCCTAAAGTGCACTTACAGAAGCACACAAGAAAACTCTTTAATAATCAGATTTTTTTTTAAAAGCAGGAATATTGGAATCTGGCTTATTAATAACTTGTGTACTCCACAGGCTCCCAAACTGCACCACATTCTGGTACATGCTAACCTGTTTTCTTGGTTCTCATGCGTAGGCCAAGGAGATCTTGACAAAAGAGTCCAATGTGCAGGAGGTGAGATGCCCAGTGACAGTGTGTGGAGATGTCCACGGACAGTTTCACGACCTGATGGAGCTGTTTAAGATTGGAGGGAAATCTCCGGACACTAATTACCTCTTCATGGGAGATTATGTTGACAGAGGCTACTATTCTGTGGAGACTGTTACACTTCTGGTTTCTCTTAAGGTATTTCAAAAAAAAGTAACCTTAACATTGATATGGACTTAAATTTTTTAATGAAGTAAAACTGTGCAGAACTGCAAATTTTGGTATTGATGCAATTCCAAGTAAACAAAGAGCCAGTATTACTGATACGTTTAGTGTATAAAGGCATCTTATTGAGGGGAGAGCAGTGTGTCATGATTTTTGAGATGAATGTTTATAAATTTACTGACCTTAGAGGATAGAAGCAAAGTATCCATCCTGTTGTGCTAGTTTCGATCTGATACCCGTATCAATATTTGGATTGATGCACCAAACTTCTATTACAAATGTGTTTTTCTTCTTAGGTAAGGTTCCGCGAACGGATCACAATTCTCAGAGGGAACCACGAGAGCAGACAGATCACGCAGGTGTACGGTTTTTACGACGAGTGCTTGAGGAAATATGGAAATGCCAACGTTTGGAAGTACTTTACAGATCTGTTTGATTATCTTCCCCTTACCGCGCTGGTAGATAACCAGGTAATGTTGTGTTTTCAGACCCAACCTGATGGACAGGTGCACTGAGCTGTTATGTGTTGTTTATTTCATATTTCTTATTTGAAAGATATTCTGCCTACATGGAGGATTATCCCCATCAATAGATACACTGGAACACATCAGAGCGCTGGATCGCCTGCAGGAGGTTCCTCATGAGGTAAACACAGATTACGTAAATGCTTTTTAGAGATTAATTTAGGAAATATCCCAGCTGACTGCTTTAGTGTAAGCATACGCATTCAAGAAAGTTCACCATGGAGTCTGTAGGTAATCACTGTATGCTCACTCTGTTCTTTTTACTGAATAGAAATTGCACTAAACAACACTGGCGTTCCCTTCACCTTTCAGGGTCCAATGTGTGACTTGTTATGGTCAGATCCTGATGACCGCGGTGGCTGGGGCATATCACCACGCGGTGCTGGCTACACTTTCGGGCAGGACATTTCTGAGACATTCAACCACGCAAACGGTCTCACTTTGGTTTCAAGAGCCCACCAGCTGGTTATGGAGGTACTCTGACTTTGTTTGTGTACTACAAGTAATTCAGTTTTTTTCTTCGTCAGATGTACCCTTCACAGTCAGTGGCTACAAAATAGCTAACATGAAGCTGATGTCTTGATTTAGGGTTATAACTGGTGCCACGACCGCAATGTAGTGACGATCTTCAGTGCACCAAACTATTGCTATCGTTGTGGAAACCAGGCAGCAATCATGGAGCTTGATGACACGTTGAAATACTCCTTGTAAGTAAAGTTTGTCATGTCTAATAATGCAAACATATCTTTTTGCAATGAGGGGGGGATGCTATATACAAAGTTCAACAAAGCCAGTCTTTCATTACTTTAGCTGGCTCAGCAACACCTGGTTATCAACTTTCGCTGTTAAGTCACCCCTTATGTCATATGACTCTTCTTCCTCACAAAATGATCCCCGTGAGTGCTACCTACTTCAGTCATCGATGCTATCAGATGATAATGATAAAGTGGTGATGACTAGTCTATAAAGAACATAATCTAGCAATTTAGTGCACAGAGCAGTAAAATAAACATTTTAATTCAAGTTAATAATTTTATGGCTGAGTGCAGTCTCAGTGCTGCTGTCTGTTCATTTCTAAGGTGATGGGTGCACATTAGAGCTCTAACACTTTAAACTGGATCCATTTAAGCATTAAAGGTTACTGTCTCATAGCCTAATGAAGGAGACGGGGAAATCTCTTTAGTTTGTTGGCAGATCAAATTAATGAAATTAATGTTATTCATTGAACGAATATTCCTGGTGTGCATTCTGGATTCAGCATAAATAATTACATGTACATTACTGTGGTAATGCATCGGGAATGTTTGCACTTCATTCAGTGGTTTTAGTTTAACAGCAGTTTAACAATCTATAATAAACTTACTGTAAATAAAAGAGTCAGGGAAAATGTGCCACTTTCAGCCGATAGAACATAACTTGCTCTCGACCAGGCTGAGCATTCAGCATAGGTTACCATGGTGATTTAGCCAGGCTACCTTTGTGACACAGAAACTCTTGACTTTAAAGTTGACATAGCTGGCTAAACAATTAATCTCACTTTGCTGACTTAAATAAATAAACCTTATTATTCAGTCTATGAGATGACGAGAGCCCTGCCCTTTGTTTGTTTTAGCCTACAGTTTGACCCTGCACCACGCAGAGGAGAGCCCCACGTGACGCGGCGTACGCCGGACTATTTCCTGTAAAGATCACTGCTGAGAACGGTAATGGGCTGCACAGAGGCTTGGGGAAAAGAAGCATTCAATCCCTCTCCCCTGAAAATGTGTGCCATAATTACAATAAAATGGAAACTGTAACGTCTAGATGAACACCACCGTCCTTTTAACTCCTTCCTCTCTGTGCATGATGTTTTAATTGCTAGAAATGATTGCTACTATGAACAATACTGTCATAATACCTGCTGGATTGTCAGGAAACATGAATGAACTAACGCTGAGAATAACGACTAGATGTTGATAAGCAGAGTGTGTCGCCACATACAGTATATACGCTGCATCTTTCACTCGGCATGGCCTCAAACAAAAGGTTGCAGTGCATACAATGTGAACTCTTTTCTTTTTGTAACCGAAGCGAAAGTGCTTATTTTGTGAGATGATAGAAACGAGTATGTTCTCTTTGCACTTTTGTATTTGATTTTTATCACATGGCACTGACAAACTTTGTTCTTTTTATATCCCGTTATAGTGTAAGTAGTTCTCTTTCTGCTGTCTCATATCCCATACGGAAAAGATATATATAAATCTTATAAAGTTTGTATCTGTCTTGTGTGAAACTTGTATGAAAAGCATATAAGAGTGAAAACAGATATAAGATCCCTTGAAAGGTTATATAATGAAACTTGTATGTTTTGGATACTTACTAAAACAATGTATGAAAGTAATGAGAAAGTGGCCACTTTCATGAGTAATCACATATAAGTTTTTACTATTTCTTTTCCATATGGGATGGGAGTTAATGTATTTCATTTAACTAGGCAATACTGCTACAAATGACATCAGATGTAAAATAAATAAAAATAATAATATAACTTAATGTTTTGCACTCACAGCTATAAAAAAAAAATTAAAACTGGAGTTGTTGTGTCATTTATTTCCCCTTTTGTACAGCTTATGACATTATTCCCGAGGAGTGACCACTAGATGGAAACAGACACCCAAAATCGGTGCAGGTGATCAGCTCAGACACTGATAATGAGCTTTATTGTGAGTGGACTATTTGCAGTAAACTGGTCATTTTAACATCTGTTTTGCTTGTTTATTTAATTTCTAAAACAGGATTTTTGCACAGTTTTTTTTTAACATGGAAAAAGGTCGGACGTTGTTTGCAGCGTGATGTTTTACTTTTATTTTTTATTATGCATTTCTGACATTAACCAAATAACCTGTCGTTTGCTTTAATTTTCATGCACGTCATGGACCACTATTAATATCCGCTTATTACACGTGCATGTGTGGAAATCCTCCGAAGTTTTAACAGATATTTCTGATTTACTGCCTGTAAAATCAATGTAGCGATAGTTCACAGAGCACCGGCGGATGTAGTGCTGAAAATAAAAGCATGATTTAAAGGATTTGGCGGATTGCAGCTCAGTTTCTCCCCTCAGACTGCTGATCACAGCTCCTGCTGCTTTGCGAAAGATTGGATCAACACTGCGTGTTTTTTTTCCTGTCATTATAAGATGTTTTTCCCTAGTAAGAAGCGAGGCAAGGCTTTTATTTTGTCGGTGAAGCCCCTCGCGGTTCCTGTGCGACCTCCGGCCGAGCTGACACTGCTGCATTGAAAATTAGCTGGCCGCAGCCTTTCAGGGACTCCTCTTGCGGACCTCCGGAGACCACAGTGCAGTAAGTAACCTGTGCTCGTTTCCCAAAACGGACCGACAGTTTTGTGCCGTGTGCGCTTGTGTGTCCGACGTGTCAAGCAGTGATCAGACAGCTTTTTGCTCTTTGGGATCCCACTGCTCGTGTGTGGATGTGGCAGGCTGATACTAGTTGAATCTGGGGCGCACAGCTGGACAATTAACGGGCTGGACAGATGTAGTGGCTAATTTGCCATTTTTAAAACGGTCGCACCTTGATTTTCATTGTTTTGGGGGAAGATTTTGGCGCCTTTTTTCTTCTTCAGATCACAGAAACACCTCCAGTTACAGTCCAGATTTAACTGGTCTACGTCGGGTTGGACAACAAACCGTATCCATTCAGGGGGCATGTTATTACTCTGCGACCACGCACAGAGAGCCGCGTTTTGTATTATAGCACATACCAGGCTATGTATCCCACATATTTTAACCCCTGTTAAAATATGTGGGATACATAACAATTGATTGTAAGGAGTTGCAGGTTAATGTGTAGCCACGCAGGCCGCCGTTGATTGGCTGAGACTGAGGGCAGAACCAGCTGTGCGTTTATGGATCAAAGGCCGTGTCGGTACAAACTTCACTCCTTTCACAGCGCATTTATTACTGATTTGGCATCATATTATTCACCCTAACTCGGGGGTTTGAGGCCAGGAAGTGCCCTTTAATCTCTTTCCAGCAGTAACTTTGTGTCTTATTGGGCCACTGAAGGCTTTTTGACATCTCGTGAGAACCCCCGTTGAGTTTAATTCAATTTAAAGCGACAGCATGCTTTCTGTACTGCACAGATTTCTTATTTAATGCCGATCCAGCAGCCATGCTTCAGTTCGAGTTCATTGCTGCTGCATGCCTTCTCACAGTTGTTCATCTGAGGCAAAGAACAAATCCAGATCAAGCTGGGTTGGAACAGCATGCTGCATGCACATCCACAAAAAACCCCCATCCACTGGTGTTTTTCCATTGCAAGCCAGTTCTGTCTGCTTTCAGACTAATTAATATAATAAAGTTTTAGGTAAGTACCCAGTTACAGCAAATAAAGCCACAGACTTTACTCAGTTTGTAACTTTTTGGTTAAAAATGCCACTTTCCCAGCTGTCCTATACATGCAGGGTGCTTTTCAGACTGGGAGTTGGTGTGTGTGCCCAGTTGCAATTTGGTGTTTCGCAGTCCTCCTGTTAGGTCAGCCCTCACTTAGTCACATTATGCTGAATTAGCAGCGTGGCAAAAGAAGCATTGTGCTCCGCCAGTCCTCCCTTGCTGACTTTTGTCTGCAAGAGAAATGAAGCCCGAAGGGGAGCTAACTCCTCTACTAAGTGCTGGAGCAGGGCCCTGGTGAATTAATTTCCAGCTTTTCCGGTCCACATGTTGACACATCCTTGGAAAAGGTACTGAACATCGAGTTGCCCGAGATGCATTAATCAGAGTGTGTGTGAGAATGTTTGAAAGCACTTTGTCATAGTACATGTCTGTGTGTGTGATTCTACTTGTGGTAGAAACCACTTTGAAGGTTCAAATATAACAGAGACACGGTAGCAGTTCATCCATCTATTTTATCAATGCCCAAGATTATTTCAAACTGTGACTCATGCACAGCCACTCTGCTGTAGTCCAGGAATATAAGTGTGGAAACGAAAACGACTATGATAAGTATTACCATGTGCAAAATCGGATACATTTATTGCGCCTGTAACATTTTGTTTCCCCAGATAAAAATGGCAGCCGAGCTATCCACTTCCATAAACATCAAGGAGCCCCGCTGGGACCAGAGCACATTTGTGGGTCGGGCTAAACATTTCTTCACCGTCACAGATCCCAGGAACATTCTCCTGACAAACGAACAACTAGCACACGCGCACAAAATCATCACCGATTACAGGTAACCAGCCCGCCCAGTTTTTCAGAAACAGGCTGTAAACTCACTGCCGGTGTAAAACGAGAAATATGATTTTACACGCTCGCTGTCTTGCAGGGAAGGTATAGTCTCTCCAGGGCTGACGGAGGATGAACTGTGGAGAGCCAAGTATGTTTTTGACTCAGCTTTCCATCCCGACACTGGAGAGAAGATGATCCTGATAGGCCGCATGTCGGCACAGGTTCCAATGAACATGACGATCACTGGATGCATGATGACATTTTATAAGTAAGATCATGTGCGAGTTAATTGTCAGACTGTCACAGCCACACCCAGGCCTATTATAGCTTCTTTTTAAGCAGCAGAGCATGTCATCGAGGGAAATTCACACGTGCTGGTTTAAATTTTGCTGCTAAAGTTTCACAGGGCTGGTGTAGTGCATGCAGCATTGCTGTTTTTGCTTATAGAAGGAGCCAGTGTTATTGGTGCTTGTTGGGATGATGGCATTCCCACACAGGAGAGTACAAATATCTGTTTACACCCAGTAATGCACATTTTTAATGATTTCAAACTGTATTTTCAATTTACAGGACAACTCCTGCTGTGCTGTTCTGGCAGTGGATCAATCAGTCTTTCAACGCAATAGTGAATTACACCAACAGGAGTGGTGACGCTCCCATAACCGTCGGGTAAGAGGCAGCTGCTTTGGCGCTGATGCCGGCACATATTAACCCCTTAATTTAACAGTGCTGGTGTGGATGGTGGTTTTTGTTTGTGTGACGTGACCGGTGCCTCTTTTGTTCGCAGTCAGCTTGGCACAGCTTATGTGTCTGCCACCACGGGGGCAGTTGCCACCGCTCTAGGACTAAATGCACTAACAAAGGTATCGGTTCATCTAACCCCATCCTACATCTCCTATTAATGGTTTGACTTCAGACATGTGGGTGTGCTGGTATGAAGTTAGCCACACATGAATTGTTTCTCACTGAAAGCCCATGTTGTTTAGAGCATCACGCTCAGTAATCATGTTGTCATGCGAGCTTTTATTTGGACTTTGCGGCAGAAAGGCCTTTCTGTAAAGCATCTGAAATATTGGCGTGAATTCTTCAAGCTATGTTTACATCTGAGCTTCCTCCTTTCCTCCCGCTGCAGCACGTTTCACCGCTGATCGGACGGTTTGTTCCATTTGCTGCTGTAGCTGCTGCTAACTGTATCAACATCCCGCTGATGCGACAAAGGTAAAGATCACTGGTCTGTCCATCTGTCCATCCACTCTTAATGCAATATTTATACTAAAGATTCGCTCGGTCTCAAAGATGAACTGATTAGAGTCAGTGTCATACCTCCGGTACAGGAGGAGCGACACACTGGCTTGATGACATTATTTAAATCGTCCTGAGTTCTCCTAACTGCAGTACTTTTGTGCTATAATGAACTGACAACTTGAGGAGAGCAGAGAAGTTTCATGTGTGTTAATAGTGTCAAACTCCAAGTTGGTTACGAACCATGACCAGAACATCAAGTTACTGAACCCTGGGCTCAGCTTGTTTTGATGTTCTGATGATTTGTTTTCCTTTCTTCAATGTCATACAGGAATAGTTATAAATGGAGAACACTGCACCTTAGTGAAATGATAATGAATAATCAAGCAGTCAGAGCTGTTTCATGTTTTTATAAGGACAATGCTATTTTGATTGTCTCTCCCTCTATCTGTTGCTCTTTTTCACAGCGCTGCTCCTGGATGGGTATTAAAACAGTAATTAATGCCCAGAAAGCTTTTCCCTGGAAACGCACACATTTGGGATGTCTCTAATTGTAAAAGGCATCGTTAAAACATCTTTTTTTCTCTTTTTTGGAAAAAAATAATAATGCAGGGAAAGCAGAAATATTTCCTGGATGCTTGCAGCAGGTCGTTCACTGATAAGGGCCCGCATGGATTCTTTATTTGGATTCAATCAGAGTTTCAGATTATAAATCCACTGTGATTGTGAGGTGCTGCTACTTTGGTGTCACCCTGCTTTAACGTCTCAGCAACTTCAAACTTAAGAGCCATTTATTTTCTTTCCTTCTGAATATGTTGAACAAGAAATGGGAATTTTCCTTAAACTTTCAGATTCCATTTTTGTCATTTGATA